AAAATCAACCAACAACAAATGCTGGCAGGAACGTGGGGAAAAAAGAACCTTTCTCCACTACTGGTGGGAGTGTATACTGGTGTGACCATTGTGGAAATCAGTGAGGAGATACCTCAAAAAACTAGCATTAGAGGTCCCATTTGACCCAGCTATTCCTCTTCTGGATATCTTCCCAAAAGAATTAACAGCACCATATCACAGCAATATATATGCACCCATGTTTATAGTGGCACAATTTGTAATAGCTAAATCTTGGAAACAACCCAAATGCCCATCAACTGATGAATGGATAAAGAAGATGTGATTTTTCTGTACAATGGAGTACTACTCAGCCATAAAGAAGGATAAACTTGAGGCATTTATAGCTAAATGGATGCACTTTGAAGCTATACTCTTAAATGAAATAAATTGGACACGTGTAAATATCACACTGTCTCTCTAGTGTAAGAAACTGAAAGTGTAAATAGGGACCAAAATGTATAATAGACAATGTGAAATAAGAAAAAATTGTTCAGGGCCAGGGATTTAGCTCAGTGGCACTATGCCTGCCTCACAACCACAACGTCCTGAGTTTGATCCCTGGTACCAGGAAAAAGAAAAAGTTGTTCAAAAGGAAAGGGAACCTGGGGTGGGGGTGAGGGGGAAAGGAAGGAAGGAAAAAGAAAAAAATGAGAAAAGAAGGAAAAATGGAAATAGGGCTTTTATAAATAAGGAAGGGAAGAGGAGTTGAAAGGAGGGGAAGGGAATGGGAATAAAAGGAATCAAGATACATCATGTAAAGGTACAAATCCCCTATGAGGAACATGATCATTAGGTAAATCTAAATTGCACCAATAAAATTAAAAATGAAAATAAAAGGAGGGTCACCAAATAGAGAAATGTCTCCCGTGCTTACACAGGAAACCACATGGTCAAGCAAGACCGCCACCCATCCTGACAGCTGACACTGACAGAGATGCTAAGAGGTTCTGTACATGGTCCCAAAAGTAACCCCATAGGAGCCTTAACTGACCTTGATATATATAGTGAGGTTAATTTTGGTTAACACAGGTCTTACTTTAACTTGGTCTTGAACACCCAGCAAAAAAGTATAACCAAAATGATACACTATAAGAAAGAGGGGGGAGGGCAGGGGAAGGGGGAAAAAATAAGAACCAAGAGAGATTATGCAAAGGTGCAAATTCCCAATGATGAATGTCATTATATTGTATACCTAAAATGTATCAATAAATTTTTTTTAAGAAAGAAAGAAAGAGGGGCTCCAACTACTACACTGGCCTCTGCTGGCAGTCTCCAGCTACACCTGTAGCTGACCATTATTATGGTTCATTGAGACTAAACAGTGACAGCTACAGAAGCTCAGCAAGAGTCTTTAAATTCCTTAGCTAAAATTGTCCTTAAAGGCCCCAGGCAATGAGCCAAGGACTCAGCTGCCTCCAGAGACCCTGCTTCCTGGCAATCCATCCCCCCTACCTGGCCTACCTTCTCCCCAGTCGCCTTCTGCAGGCCATTTCCACCCAGAAAAAGGAATCATATTGTATGTCCACTATCCAGAACCTCCACTCTTTTGACCCCTGGGTAATGACCTGCTTCCTGCTGGCACTGAGGATTATAACCATATAAGAATCCAACAGAGAAACGGCAGGAAGACCCTTACCACTGTCTAAGGGATCACTGATGATTGTAATAGAAAGAAACTGGTGAAGGCATTTAAGAAGAAATTTGCCTGCAATAGTACTGTAATCGAGCATCCAGAATATGGAGAAGTGATCCAGCTCGAGGGTGACCAGCACAAGAACTTATGCCAGTTCCTGGTAGAGATTGGACTGGCTAAGGATGATCAGCTGAAGGTTCATGGGTTTTAAGTGCTTGTGGCTCACTGAAGCTTAAATGATTTCCTCGCAATGCATAGAATATCCCTTCTGTCCCTTGACACAAATTTAAAGACCTCACAGCTTGTATAATGTAAATCTTGGGGTCTGCTTTCACTTGGACTAGTGTAACTCCTTCATGCAATAAGCTGAAAAGAGCCATGATGTCTAGTTTAGAAGTCCCTCATTCGAACAGAGCTCATACAGTAGGCGCCCGGAAATGTGCAGCCAGAAACAGAGGTATTGTGATGTTTCAGCAGGGCCCTGGGACCGTGGGCAGCTGTCTGGCCAGGAGCTCTCTGGGCTCCCTCTTGGCAGACCCCAGCCCTAGACGGTCTCCACCCAAGTGGCGCCAGTGACCCAGGAGAGCATGGAGTAAGGCCTCTTAAAGACCACAGGGCGCTCCGTCTTCTTATAGCTAAAACTCGAAGGACTGTGAAACTTGTCTTCAGATAAATAATTAACATTGGGTGAAAAAAGATCTTAAAACAATAAAAAAATAGATAACCTGCATGAACAGAAAGGTCTAGGATTCAGCCAATTACAGTCCCTATTCCAATCCCTTAAAAAAATATTGTCTACACTTAGCTTCTTCCCCCGAGTTGTCTTTCTATTTTGGTTTTTATGTTTGGGCCATGCATTCCTTTTTTTTTTTTTTTTTTTTTGGTACCAGGGATTGAACGCGGGTCCTTCTGCTTGTGAGGCAGGCGGCAGAACCACTGAGCTAAATCCCCAGCCCAAGGGCCATGCGTTCTTAATTTCTGGGTAAAATGTGTTTCTTCTCTCCTAGAGGCTGTCAAATTCCAAACGGTCAGACTGACAGAGCCAACAGTGAAAGTGTCAGATTCCTTTTACCACAATCCACTAGATCCACCTTCTTAAGAGTTCTTAACTGCTAAAGTCCAATATGGCATCTATCAAAAGTCCCGAAGATTAGCTCTCTGGAAAAAGTTCCTGACTGCTGTTCCCCCCTACATGGACCCCTTTCAGCATGAAGCAGCTAGACTTGGTCTTTGCCCATTCTCCCTTTAATAGCAGTTAAGAGATGCAGCCACTCCCTACTAAATTCCCGACTTCTGAGGAAATTGTAATGCAAAATAACTAGTTTCTTTCTAAGATTCCAGTTCACTATAAACACTACGTCAAAGAACTGGGTTAGAGAGCCTGAGTTCCAATTGGTCACTTTTCTTTTTTAAACTTCACAGAGTCACCCAAGATAGGTGTCCAATGTCATGGCTCACCTAAGTGGGACCCTCTAGGCAAACATGTTGCCCTCCACAAAACAACACTAAAGGGCCACACTGCCTTCATTAAACAGAACAGATAGCCATAAAGAAAATTTAGAACAGGACATATACATTCTCCCCGGCACCGAAAAGTCCGATATTGTCTACACACCTGCACAGACCTTTCTGGGAACTTTGACCCCAAGCGTTCCATCCTAGATTCCTTAGGATTACAACCCCCATCCCCAAGCCTTATAAAAACGAAACTTCTCTGGCCAATCGCTGACATCTTTCTCCATCTCAGCCTGTCTGCACCGAGACAGAATAAATTAGCCTTTTGTTCACATAAAGACTGTGTCCAGGTAGTCTCTCGTGCGCCGTTTATAACACACACTAAACAAGCAATTCTTATGCCCTGGTTACCTAAGCCTGACTTCAGATGGAGGCGCCTCAGTCCCAACCCACTCAGGATCCTCTCCCAGAAATCCAGGAGCTGGTCTTCCTCTTATTTCCAATAAAAATTCTCCAAACCTCCTCCCCTTTGGTTCACGACTTCATTTTCCAACATTTATGGAACAATGAGCCTGGTACACAGGCTAACAAGTTCACCGTGTGGGGCACGCCTGTAGACAGACGCTGGCCACCTCCACCAGAGGTCCTTAGGGAGGCTTTAAACTACTTCTTTTCATAAACTGAATATAGAATAAGAATAATTTCCTTAAAAATGTCAATTAGAAGTTGTTCCAGAAGCAACCTCACCCGGAGAAAGGCAAAGTTTCTAAAGAAATGCACAAAAGTCAAAGACTTAGGTGCTGTTGAGCTTGGAAATGAGCCAGCCTCAGGAGCTCCCGCCTAGGGAATCTGATCTTCCAGCTAAATCGGATGCTTTTCTACCAAATGGGATATGAGGCTGGGGTCCTAGAGTAGGTGGAAGGAACCCTCCAGGGAGGGATAGCAGGGCCGCTGCTGCCCTGTGTAGGCTGCTGAGACACTGTGAGCCCCGGGTGATGGGAACCCAGGAAGCTGGGCAGCGTCTGGTACGCGGAAGCAGCCGGCCCTGATTTCCTCTACTGGCCTGGGGCACGTGGTGAAAGGTGGAAACGGCCGGGCGGAGGGCCGTCGGGCACAGATGGAGAGGTGGTGACTTAGGGGACAGTAGGTACTGGAGGCTCGAGGTCCAACTTAGACTGCACTGGGGCTGGAGTGGAGTCAAGGCGCAAGTTAGGAGGCGCTGCCTCACAGCGGGAAACAGCTATCCCAGCGCACCAGCGCCGCAAGGTGTAAGGAAGACGCCGCTCAGTACAAAAAAACCCACCCTCTATCACGCCAGAGTAGCGCTGCGCACGCCCCTTTAAAGAGGAGCAGGACACGGGGCGCGCTCCGAAACACGTCACTGCAATCATTTGCAAAAGGCTGCCGGGCCAGAGCACAGCGCGGTGTCCGAAGCTTAGTTGACTTGCGCCGCCCTTGCCCAATCGGAGGCCGCCTTGTTCGCGGAGGGAGGAGCCAGGCGGCTCAGCCATTGGGAGGCAGCATTGTTGGCGGCCACGGCGGCGCAGCCCGGGAGCCAGCAGAGGTACGGCTGCCACTGCCGCAGGAGGCGCGAGGTGCGAGATGCGCGGTGCTAGCGGCTAATGGGCGAGCCGAGTAGGGAGGAGGCTTGGCGGGAGGGGAAACTGGTCGGGCTGCTGGGGGCTGTTTGGTGCCTGATAGGCCGGGGCACCGACAGGGGCGGGGCGGCAGCGTGCTGGGCCGCGGGCGGCGGCGGCGGTGGCGGCGGGCGGCGTCCCCTTCCCTTCCCTCCGCCCGCCCCGTCCCCAGCTGAAGGTCAGCCGCGCTTTGTTCACGCCGGGCCTCCTCCCCGGCCTCCGGCGCGCACGTGCAGCTGGGCACCGCGCCCCCCGCCCGCGAGCGGCGCGCTCGAACCGGAAGAACGGGACGGAGGGTCCTGCCTGTAGTGATGGGTCGTGAGCCTGGCGGCGCGACGGGTTACGGTGGGCTTCAGCTTCGGCTTCGAAAGTCGGGGTGGCACAGGGAGAAAAGCCCTCAGTGCAGCGAGAGCGAGGAGTCCTACCGGCTCCCTTTTCGGAGGACTTCAATTAACGGGTCCTGGAGTGATGTCCTGTGGCTATTTAAGTATCCAGGCAAGGTGGGCCTCGAGGTAGTTTTACTGTTAAAACCGTCTTTCAGAAGAGATAGAAGAATGTAGCTGTCTACACTTGTTTAGTTAGGAAAGTCCCCAGCGTTTCTCGAAGTTCAGAGGTCAGAGGAGTCCCATTTGTATATTTTTGTCAATAGAGCTTCTTGGGTTTTTTTTTTCCTAATTCCGCCCTTCTTTTCTGAAGGCTTTTTGTCGGTCCTAGCAGAGCATTGCCTGGTCGTGATAAGACTTTCTACCTTCCACAGTTCTCTGTCTAAGCCTGATTAGGCGGCGGGGTGACAGACCATGCTTAGTGTCTGTGTCTGGTAATGGCAGATTCCAACATTAGACCCTTGGGACCCTGAGGTGTGTCTCATCCTCTGTTGGGGTCTTTGCGGCTTTTTGAGTATCTCTGCTTTCTCAGGAATCCGTGGGGTGAATAGGTCTGTGCTTTTTCGCATACCCATTCTGCTTTGTTTCCTTTTGAAACAAGTCCTACCCGGTCTTCCTGCACCTGGGTATATGGTATAAAAAACAAGCCTGTGGAAATTGTCTTGCATTAAAGATGTCCAAGTATGGTTATTAAGTAGTTGGCCCTAAAAAGTTAAGTACAGTATTTTTAAGTTACTGCTTTCCTTCAGTAGTAACTATACTTCTGAATGACTAACTGCTTCCTACACACCAGGGGCTCCTCTAAGCTCTCTGCATGTATTAACTGGTTTCATACTAATTTGTACAATACTACAGTTTAAGTAGCTGTCCCTTACCTGAAATGCTTGGGACCAAAAGTGTTTCTGATTTTAGAGTTTTTCAAATTTTGAAATATTTACGTAGATTTACAAGATGAGCTTCCTTAATCTGGAAAATTCGAAATCCGACATCCGACATAATGCTGAAAAAAATTACAGATTTTGGTGTTTAAGATTTTTGGTATAGGGATCCTCAACCTGTATTGTTTACCATTTCACTGCTGGGGAAACTAAGGCCCTGAGATGTTAAGGATAATGAGTTATCCAAGACAACAGAGCTTGGATTAAAACCCTTATAGTTTTAACTTTGTCCAGATTTCCTGCTTCTTCCGAGGGAATGAAAAGTTTTAATGGGGCACATGTGGTGGTGCACCTCTGTGATCTCAGCAATGGTTTATAATCCTAGCAGCCTGTAATCCCGGAGGCAGAGGTAGGAGGAACCCTTCAAGTTCAAGGCCAGCCTGGGTTGTATAGTTCAAGGCTAGCCTGGACTACATAGTGAGACCCTGTCTCAAAACAACAACAAAAAAAGTTGTTTATTTTCTTTATTGCACTGAGCCTAACTGAACTGTGGCTTTTGAGGACTTGAGTTGGATGATCTTTTCATTTATCCCCCAGAATGGTAAATGCTTCCCGTAATTTCATGCATCATTTTAACACTTCACTGCTATTATTATGCATTATCTGCAATCTTTTTTTTCTGGTCAGTATTATTGGTTTAGAAGGTCTGCTGTTATCTGTGCCATTGGATATAACAGCTGAACACTCTCATCTTTAGGTTTTGTTTTATTAGCTTTGAGTCCTGTACTGTTTTTTCAAAGTGAATTTGAGTAGTAATTGGAGGAATTGGTCCAATTTTATCATTTTAAGATTTGATAACTTGATCACTTGATTTCTGAAAAGGATGCTGCAGGATTTTGTCTTCAGAACACCCAGGGCATAATGGCTTTGTGGATGGCCATTTAGATGATCAGACTTACCTGTGGAATTTTGAAAAAAAAAAAATTTTTTTTTTCCAGATAAGATCTCTTAAGTTGCCCAGGGTGGGTTTGAACTCATAACCCTCCTGCCTCAGTCTCCCATAATGCTGAGATTGAGGCACCTGCAACAACACTTGGCTAGAATTACTTACTCTTAGAGATGCTTTTCTTCTTTTCCTTTGGTGTGTGCAGTTTAAACCCTGTTTTGATAAATTGGCATTGTTCTTAAAAACACTTTTGCCAGAGAACCTAAAATTTTTGTTTGGGGAGAATAAAATCTTTTGGGCAAGACTGATTTAAATTCCTGAAGGCCCAAGGGCCATCAGCTGTATGAAATGCAGTAGCAGGATGCTGTTTGGATCCAGTCCTTCCAGTGATGGCCTGTGCCTGAATAATAAGCCACCAGCAATGAGCTTGTTGAGAGATTAGTCTGGGCTTTTGGGCCAAAGAGCACTTTTTTTAAAAAAAGGAAGTTGGCACCTGCCTGTAATGCCAGCAAACCCAGAGGCTGAGGCAGGAGGATAGCAAGTTCAACGCTTGCCTGCTCAATTTAGCAAGACCTTGTCTCAAAATGAAAGGGCTAGCTGGGTTAGCCTGGTACAGTGGCTCATACTTGTAGTCCCAGCACTCTGGGAGACTAGACAAAAGGGGTGTAAGTTCAAGCCCAGCCTGGGCAACTTAGACCCTGTCTCAAAATTTTAAAAGGGCTGGGAATGTAATGTAACACAAGAAGAAACAAGGTGGTTTAGGCATCCAGAATAAAAAGCCGATTCTAGTTTGACTCTTCTACCACTGTGGTGATGGAGAGGAGCTGATGCAGAATTGCAGGAAACCGCTCTTTTCCAATCTCTCCTTAGCAAATTGAAGCCTCCTGGAAGTTCAGTTGTGAGATATGTCTTTGAGCATATGTAGTTAGTTACTGGGAGATCTTATTAGTGGGTAATGTTTTGTGTTTGTTAAATTTTTTTTGGTTTTTTGAGGCAAGGTCTCCCTTTATAGTTCAGGCTAGCCCTGAACTCTGTAGCCCGGGCTGGCCTTGAACTCATTGATGATCCTCCAGAGTAGTGGGATTACAGATGTGTACCACTACCCCTGGCTCTGTTAAAGACATTTTAAAGAAATGTTTGTGATGATACAGATTTGTTTTCATCTGCCAGTCATTGGTTTTTCCATCTTGCCCACTAAAGAGGTAGCCCAGCTTGTTTATTTGGCTTGCTGTTGAATTTTAAATTTTGTGAGTATTTAATAGAAGGAGGGACATTGTGTTTGTAGTATGAAAAATACAAAAGATGGCTTTGTGAACTTTACTTTTTGATCTTGACTGCTCGCTGTATAGTCTTAAATTTCCTCTTGTTCTGCGTTGTTTACTCTGTCAACTCATAACTAAATGTGCTTCCATGCTGTGCCCAGGGGAAAAACCTGTTCAAAAACAAGGTGAGGTGATTTGTTTAGTAGTTTACGGTAGAAAAGATGGGCTCTGCACTTTAAAATCTGCAGTGTATAATCTAGAATAGTAGTCTTTACTCACTTATTGCAGAGTAGCTTTCGGTGCTTGGTATCTACTTATTTGCTCATTCATGAACTCATTCACTTATGAGCCTCATCTGTATGGGACACAATTCTGGGTACTGCGTGTGCCCACTGAATAAAACAGACAAAAGGCCTTGCTCTCGTTGCTGATGTGGGAAGCAGACAAGCAAGTTAGATAGTGGAATTTGCTTTAGTGAAAAAAGTAGAGAGAAGTGAGGTCTTATGTACTTGTAATTTTAAATAGGGTGGTGTGGAAAGTGCCTTCACAACAGTGACAAGATCTTTAAGTACTGGGTTTTAACCTTTCAAATGTTTTTGTTCAGTCATGCTGAGACTGGCCTCCAACTCACTGTGTAGCCCAGGCTGAGCTCCTCCTGCCTCAGCCTTCCAAGTGCTGAGATTGCAGGCATGCACCACCATACCCACTTTTCATTTGGTTACACCTTATAAAGACCTTGAAGACCTTCGAGCTAATGAAGATGATAAATGTATAAAAACTTAGGTTTTATGACGTATGACCACACTGCCCAGCTTACAGTTTTGTCTCTCAGAAGTGGTTTGATTTGAAATATATAGTTACATTAGCTATAGACTAAAGGTTTTCAGTTAAAAATTAGGAATTTTGCTGGGTGTGGTGGTGCACACTTGTAATCCCAGCGTTTGGGAGGCTTGAGGTAGGAGGATCGCTGCAAGCTCCAGGCCTGCCTGTGTGCTACATAGTTCAAGACCAGCCTAAAGTACATAGCAAGACCCTGTCCCCAAAACAAACAAACAAAGAATTTTAAATTATATTGGAAAATTTGTTGCAACCTAAAAAAATGTTTTCCCCCATGAAAACAGCTTCTTTGGGGTAAATGGAAATTAATCTATGAATAGGATTGTTGTAGGGTCCTGCAACAATAAAAGCAGAACATTGACCCTAGGAGGGAACCTGAACTGCTACATTCTTTTGAAAACTGAGAATATTGTTTTGCCTGATGTCCCTTTGATATTCTAACTTGATTACCATTTATTTATTATTTTGTTGTTTGAGACAGGATTCTCTCATGTAGTAGTGTCCAGGAGAGTCTTAAACTTGAAGCAATCCTCCTGCTTCTGCCTCTCAAGTGCTGGAATTACAGGTGTGCACCACCACATCTGGATACCTTTTATTTTTAATTGACAAACTATTTCTGGTACACAGCATGATTTATTTACTTATCTATTTATTTGCAGCACTGGGGATTGAACCCTGGACCTTGGGCCTGCTAGCCCTCTATCACCAAGTCAAATCTCCAGCCTCCTTTATTTATTTATTTTTTCCCATTAAGTTTATTGGTACATTTTCGGTATAAAATACAGTTACATTCATCATTGGGATCTTGTACCTTTACATGAGTCTCTTGGTTCTTATTTTTTTCCCCTTCCCTTGCCCTCCCTTCACCCCTTCCACCCTTCCCTATTTGCAAAGACCTTGTT